CTATCAAATATAAAAAACTATTGTCTGCACACATAAAAACAATGACAATTGAAATACACGTTTAGACTATTGAGCAGAGAGAGAGAGAGAGAGAGAGAGAGAGAGAGAGAGCTTTTGTTAATTTCATTGACAAACGAAATATTATCTCATTTTGCGAGTCGACAGAGGATTAAAACAAACGTTATTTTTTGTATTTCAAATGCGATGACAGAATCAATTGAATTCACAATTGAATTGTAAACTAATCTCCGATTCATTGGACAGAAAATAAGTCAAAACGATATGAAAAGAAGAAGAAATGAAAAAGTTTGTGTGTTTTGAATGAAAACTAAAATAAAATATCAATTTTTTGCTTTCAGACGACAAGTATTTCCTAATACTAACATAACATAAGATATTTAGCCGAGTATTAGGCACACAGACACTAAATGTTGGGCACAGGTATGTATGACATACACACTATGTATGTATCTGTCAAACCATACAATAATGTGTGCATTTTGTTCACAAGTATTTAACATTAATTTCTGTGTTCATCAAAAATTTGGTGACAATTTTTTGTGTGTCTCCTTCTCTCACACAATACCTCTCATTTCAATTATAATCTGATTGTCAGTGTATTAGCGCTTATGAAACAAAAGTTTTTTAAGACAAATACTGTTGTATTATATTATTCTCATTACGAAAATCATATGCAATCTCTTTTCGAGGTTTCGTTTTTATCAATACATCAAATGAATGAAAAATGAGGAAAAGAAAAATAAGAAAAATAATATATTTATCTCTTAAAGTGACATAAATTGTATGAATTGTATGCAATGTTTGCAATTGTATGCAAATTAGGCAATGAATTTGTGGCAACTTTTTTCCCGACAATTACCCGATGGGGACAGACATATGACCGCTATTTATATATACATTAGTATACATTCAGTCATATCCTTATCAATATAATTTCAAAAACTCTTACCTATAGTAGTCTTCTTTGCAATAGATATGTCCATCACGTGAGAAGCAGGTGAGGTCTGAGTCGAGTGTGACCTTACACTGGGAACACTTGAGACAATTGACATGCCATTGACGGTCCACCGCCGACAGGTAGTACCGGTCAAGTATTGGTGACCCACAGCCGGCGCACTCTGTTGTCCGGGCGTTGGCCGCACTCATCGCCGCCGCGTGACTGCAGTCCGGCTTCATCTCGCCGTTTGGTCCCGAAGAGATCGCCGGCATTATCATCACAGCATACGGTCTAAGACTGGATGTCCGTCCCGTCTGTGTTTGCCTATGCGTGTAGTGTTTGAGAGGCTTCTGGTGGTCGGCGACCGCTAAACAATCACTTTTGCAAATAGTTTTGTAATTTTATTTCATTCACTACTTTACAAATATAATAACTATTGGTTTAATTATTATCGCATTATTAATAGTCGTCAAAATGTTGAATCATTTTGTGGACACTTTTTTAAAATAAATTAATTGCAATACACTATCGGCGGAGAAAAACTTTTTTCATTTGCTTTTTTGCGATTCGTTGCGCATAAAACTAATCGCCTTTTAATTTTATATATCGATTACTTTTAGACATACAAAACGTTACATCAAATTAAAATAAAAAAGCTAATCATTTAGGAGATTAAAAATGCAGCGCTTATAACGCCGGCGAAGACAGGCGTAAGGCCTGCGACGACAACAATAAGCAAATAATAATAATAATAATAATAATAAGGCCTTTCTTTCTCCGGTCTGTCCGCCAGAACCCAAATATATAGCGATAACTGTTTTATACGTATATATGAAGAGAGTGTGAGTGCGAGGACTCGACGCGACGCCGAAAATCTCTTCTAACAAACTAATGATGACATTCAGGAGAGCAAAGAGTGTATGCGTTGTGAGTGTTGTGTGTGTTTGTGGTGCCAGTAGTAGAGGCGGTCCGAGAGGGCGGACTCGTATGGTTAGGTTAGACGGTGTGTGTGAGAGAGCTCTTGAAAAGTTGTGCGGGGAGTCCGGCCCTAAACACTGATGCGCTGTTCAACGCCAGCAATGGATGGATGAATGGATGCGAGAGAGAGAGAGAGAGAGAGAGAGAGATGGCCAAATCCGACATCCTCCTTTGCCCCTTAATATCCCCTCTAATCCACCCATTATATATGCGGACGTTCTTTCTAAACAGCGCTCAAAAGCATTTGTACAGTGAAAGCTATTTAAGCCACGCCCAACCACATGAACAGGGATTACTTGAGGTAAAAAAAGGTAAATAATTAATAGCAACAATACATCCACAATAAGGCCCTAAATGTCTTTCCTGTGTAACTCATAACACATCCATAAAAGCATACATTAAGGCGTCTAATAAACTATAATTTAATTTTTAAAACACATGCAATATTTGTGACAACTGTTTGTCAAATATATGTTGTGTAAAAATGTTTGAAAATTAATTATACAAATCATAAATTTAGTATTTAATTTAAAATAGTGACAAAATGTGACCTAATTCTCAATGAAACCAATAATAACTTTTAAATGTACTTGGTTCTAAATGTACGTAATTAAATAGACTTTGTATACACATTGTATTAATACATATTAATAATGACAATGTCAATGATCGTATAATTATAATTAAAAACCAAACTAATTGGTGTTAATTAGGGTACAGCCCGGACGACATGCGGGACACGCAAACAGCCGTATACGTGGGCGCGTTCAACGACGAAAGCATCGAGGCACTTTGCCAAGACCCAGCTACTGTGTCCATGTACGCGGCCGTGGGCACCAAAAGGACCATGCTGGCCAATCGGGTGTCCTATGTGTTCAACTTTCACGGGCCGAGCCTGTCGTTGGACACGGCGTGCTCGTCGAGTCTGGTCGCCGCGCAGATCGCCTACTCAGGCATACGGGCGGGTGATTTCGACGCCGCTATAGTGGCCGGCGTTAACATTGCGATCAAACCGTTGATAACGGCTGAGTTCGCGAAGTTAGGAATGCTGTCACCCGTTGGCCGCTGTAAATATCTGGACGCGTCGGCCGACGGCTACGTCCGGTCGGAGACGGTGTCCGTCGCTCTCCTGCAACGGCGTCGCGACGCCCGACGCGTTTACGCCACTGTTATTCACTCCAAAGTCAATTCCGATGGCTATAAAGTGGAGGGACAGACGTTTCCGTCGCCGAAGACACAGTTGAGTCTAATTATGGCCACTTTGAAAGAGTCGGAAGTGAACCCCAATTGGATTCGTTACGTGGAAGCGCACGGAACCGGCACTCAGGCCGGCGATCGTAACGAGACGATGGGTATTGTGCAGGCGTTTTGCGCCGACCGGTCGGAGCCGTTGCTCGTCGGCAGTGTTAAGTCCAACTTAGGTCACAGCGAATCGGCCGCCGGTATGAATCAATTGGCAAAACTGGTGATTACAATGGAAAATCGTAAGATTCCGGCCATCTATGGTCTCAAAACGCCAAACCCGGCGATCGAGCCGTTAATGAAGGGCCAAATCAAACCCGTGACCGAAAACACACCTTTCGAGGACTGTGTGGTTGCCATCAACTCCTTCGGCTTCGGCGGCACAAACGCTCATATGTTGATCCGACCCAATACACGACCGGCCACTCCGGTGCCCAACAATGGCTACCGAGAGATCCCGCGACTGGTTTTAACGAATGGTCGAACGGAAGAGAGTGTCGACTATATTATGGACTTTATTGAGAATAACAGTCCGAAAGCGAGCGACGATTTTCTGGCGCTTCTCAACGAAGTGAAGGCAACCGATGGCATGGATTGGAGGGGATATCTGGCCCGAGACGTGAAGAGCAAAAACTACGTACAGTTGCGGCGAAATACGTCCAAAATCTCATCTAAACGACAAGTTTGGTTGGTATGTAATGGTATTAAATATTAGGCTTTAATTGACGGCAAAACAAAACTAATGAATGTCTTATTGTTTGCCAGGAATGGGTGCTCAGTGGCTATCGATGGGCAAACAGATGATGGAAATCGATATCTTCAGAAAGTCTATTGAGAAGTCGGCGGAGATTATTAGGCCGTATGGCATAGACCTCATGCAACTGGTTCTGGGAGACGATCCCAATCTCTTTGCACCCATCTCTTCGTCGTCCACATCGTTGATAGCCATTCAGATAGCGCTCATCGATCTGTTGAAAGCGCTGGGCGTCGAAGCGGACGGCTATTTTGGCCACTCGGCCGGCGAAATGGGATGCGGTTATATCAACGGCGTGTTAACGCAGGAGGAGTTCATTATGATTGGCTACAATCGACGGTGCGTTCAGGACCTGCGAGGGCTGATGGCGGCGGTGGGCATGTCGTGGGATGAGGTGAAGAAACGGTGTCCACCGGGCGTTGAGGCCGCGTGTCATAACTCGCCCAACTCTGTGACCGTATCGGGCGATGAGGAGGCGGTCGCCAGGTTTGTGGCCGAACTCAAAGCGGAAAACGTGTTCACAAAAGTGGTCAACAGCTCTAACATACCGTTTCACAGCTCGATAGTGAAGAATATGTACAGCACTTTACTCGACAGATACCGCACAGTCATCGCCGACAAGCGATTGAGAAGCGATAAGTGGATCAGCACTTCGATACCGGCTGACAAGTGGGCCGAAGACGAGTGCAAATACTCGTCGGCCGAGTATTACGTGAATAATTTGGTGGAACCGGTGCTCTTCAAAGAGGCGCTGGATCTGGTGCCAGAGGACGCGGTCATCATAGAGATTGGTGCCGATTCTGTGTTTAGAAATTTGATCAAGCAGAACTACCCGTCCCTACAATACGTGGGTTTAATGAAACGCAACGATACCGACAGTTTGGCCAACTTTTTGGCCGCAATCGGAGAGCTCTATAATCTCGGACTCAACCCTCGGGTCGAGAATCTGTACCCAAAAGTGACGTTTCCCGTGGAGAGGGGCACACAGTCGTTGAGTTCGCTAATCAAATGGGACCACTCGGACGACTATCTCGTGCCGCTATATCCGGATTACTTTAATCCCAGGACTGGCGACGAGATTAACATTTCTATTGATTTCAAACTCGAAGAAAATCAGTTTTATTTCGGACACGTTATCGACGGTCGAGTGTTATTCCCGGCCACCGGTTATCTGTATATTGTGTGGCAAGAGTTGGCCAAACAGTCGTCGATTCCGGTCACAGAATTGCCGGTAATCTTTGCAAACGTCCACTTTTTGAGGGCAACTATTATCAAAGAGAACACAGTTTTGACGTTTAAATTTCATTATTCAAAACTTAACGGAGAGTTCTGTATATATAATGACAATCAGCTGACAGTTTCGGGCCGTATGTCTACTCCCGACAAATATAACCAATTCTTACCTCTCGGCCAAAACTTTGACTCTCTTATGGACCGCAAAAACCAGAACTATAGCCTAAACAAAGCCGATGTTTACAAAGAGCTCCGGATTAGAGGCTATGAATATAAGGATTTGTTTCAATCGATAACATCGGTTGATGTGAAGAAAAATACGGCAAAAGTGGAGAACCGGACCAATTGGGTGACATTTGCTGACGCTATGCTTCACTTCGCACTTTTGAGCGTTAATACAAGAGATCTGGTTTTACCGACGAGTATTGATGTCATTCATTGCGATCCCCGTATATTCAAAGCTAACGCTGGCGAAGATATTTTGGAAATATTTGCGGATCCGATGGGAGACTATTGCATAACCAGAGGACTAGAGATCTACGGCTTTAATGTGAATCGTATTGATAGACGAAAACAAAGCGAAGAGTTATGTCTCGAAAAGTATGTCTTTATTCCCTATTTTGAGAAAAATGCTCTCAAAGAAGATATGGAAGTATTGGTTGAAACTTATGTCTCAATTCTCGATGATATGATAACTAATGGTCTGAACGGAAACAAAACTAAATTAACAAATAAATTAAATAATTTGTTGGCAATCAATGAATTGAGTGATGATATGCTTGTGTTGAAGGATATTATTGAAGAGAAATTAAATAATAACACAAAAAGCGATTCAAATATTCTGGAGACAGAAGATGGTAGAAAGTTGTGCTCAGATCTGATAAACAATACTTATTTGAATGAATATCTGTTGAGACCAGCAGTGGATCTGATTCTTGAAAATAATAACTCGTTTCACACGAGAAAAGAGTTTAATGTATTAGAAATCAATTTCAGTGAAGAGGTTTGCTATCAATCGGTTGTGGATTATCTAAAGGACTCGTTTTATAATTTGAAAATCAAGTATTCATTGTATAGCCCGACAAATACCAAAAGTCAAGGTAATAAAAATACATTTCAATATTTATAATTTAAATTTATTTATAATTTATGTTTATTTAGATTCAATGCCATATAATATGGTTAATATAGACTTCTTAAACGAGAAGACTAGTGGCAAAGGAAATAGCATTGATTTGATTGTCTTAAGGGATGGATATCCGCAACAAAGCAATGGTGTTATAAATTATGAGAAAGTGTTTGAATACATTCATTCAAATCTCAATACAAATGGCTTTTTATTAATATTAATGAGAAATGATTACACATTACCGGAGAAACACTTGTTTGACAGGTTTGGCATTAAATACAACGACAAAATGAAAGACAATCAAATATTGACATCAATGGCCAATAAGAGTGGTCTCTCTTTGATTAGCAATAGAACTGATCCAAAGACGTGTTCCTCTGTATTACTGATGAGGAATGTAGAGAAGAATAGACAGACCAATGATATTGTCTTACGGATGACTGAATCCGTATACGATCCATGGTTTCAGACATTAAAGACAGAGCTTTCAAAAGATTCAAAAACAGATTCAGAGAGTATTGTTTGGTTGATATGTGACCACAAGAAGCCCAACGGAATCGTCGGTTTTGTCAATTGTTTGCGTAAAGAACTGAATGGCCATCGGATCCGATGTATATCTGATGAAAATATATACAACTCGAGCGCTCCCTTTGAAGCCATTCGTGACAATAATCTTGTAATGAATATTAGAAAAGACTCGGACTTTGGTTCCTATCGTTTTATTGATTTAAATGAGGTTCGCTTGACTACCGGTGCTATCAAACACGCCATGGCTTTGAGACCCAAATCGAAAGACATTTCAATTGATAAATGGATTGAATGCAAACACAATTCATTGCCAAAACAAACCCAAAATATAATTGTTAACGTGTTTTGTGCCGGACTTACACCTTATGATATCAAACGCTTTAAAACCGAAACCATTAAATCGGTTCAAATGCCACCGGAATTGGGTTTGTGTTCACAATTCAGTGGTTGCGATGAGTTTGGCAACAGATTTATGGGCATTAAATCCGGCGAATGTCTGTCCACTTCATTGGCTTTCAATAATCTAAACGAAATAATTTCAATTCCCAACCACTGGTCACTGGAGAGCGCCTGTACTGTACCCCTCGCCTATGGGTCAGCCTATTTGGCACTCATTATAAACGCCAGACTCGATCGCACGGACTCTGTGCTCATCCATTGCGCCGATGGGGCGGTCGGAAGGGCCGCTCTCGCCATCTCTCTGTCCATCGGTTGCGAAATTTATGCGACGGTTAATAATCTGAATGCGAGACACAATCTGTTGAACGACTTCCCAGAGTTGGACGACACAAAAGTGATCAACACTTCAATGGATTGTTTCAAACAACAGGTCTGCGAGAGAACGGGCGGAAAGGGAGTCGACATTGTCTTCAATTATACGCAGGAATATAGGACTGAATTGAGTGCTAATTGTTTGAAACCTAATGGAAAATATTTATCCATTGAATATCATAGCAATAATGCATTAAATAAAGGTTTGTTACATATAAATGACCATGCAAGAATTTTTACAAAATTTTAATTAATATTTTTGTGTTCAACATTAGCCGTTACGTGTGATAAAAATATAGCCGTATTTCACATAAATGTAAAACAAGTCTTTAGCCAAACAAATGACGATTTGTTGAAATACAAAGTCTTGGATCTGATAAGAGAGGGAATCGCGAAGAATGTCGTCAAACCATTTAATGGTAAAGTATTTCCATTGGAAAGCATTGGCGAAGCGTTTGAATACTTAAAACAATTTGGATATAAAGAAAACGTAACATTAATTGTAAATAAAAGTGAAAAAGTAAACGATTTAAAGCCAGTAAACGCTGTCCACAACACGACTTTCCCCGACGACCGCACGTATGTCTTGACGGGAGGTTTGGGAGGCTTTGGTCTGGAGTTAGCCCATTGGTTGGTCGAGAGGGGGGCCAAACATATAGCGCTCACATCGAGAAGTGGTCTCAAAAACAAATACCAAGAGTTTTGCGTAAACCAGTTAAAGACTTTGGGAGCAAATGTTATGATCAGCACTTTGAACGCTTCCGATCCCAAAGAGTGCGAACAATTGATGGCCGGGTGCGAGAAGGAGGCGCCGGTGGCCGGCATTTTTTGTTTGGCAATGGTTTTGAGCGATGGATTGTTTACCAATCAAACCGAAAAGTCAATGCAAAAAGTCTTTGAGCCCAAAATCGATGCCATCAAAAATTTGGACACAATTTCGCGCAAACTTTGCCCTCATTTGCAATATTTTGTCGCATTTTCTTCGGTGTCCGGCGGCCGCGGAAATGCCGGTCAAACCAACTACGGGTTGGCCAACGTATACATGCAAGAGGTGTGTGAGAGTCGTCGCCGACAGGGACTGCACGGTCTGGCCATACAATGGGGTGCCATCGCAGACGTCGGCGTCGTTACCGAACACTTCTCGCCAGATGTGCAGTCCATCGGCGCAACGGTTCCCCAACGGATCCATTCGTGTCTATCATTGATGAACCACTTTCTCCGATCCGACGATACGGTTGTCAGCAGTTTATTGAGATTTGAAATGAAAAAACCGATGGATAGCACCGCTAAGAGAGACGGTGTCTCTGATGTTGTTTGGCTTATTGGCAATATTCTGGGTATTTATGATTACATCAATAGAAAACTTGTTGTTATATTAATTAAATTGTTATAAACAGGTGTAAGGGATCCGTCAAAGATCAGGCCTATGGCCAAACTGCCCGAACTCGGTATGGATTCACTTATGGTTGTAAACATCAAACAGGCGTTGGAATCGGAGTTTGAGGTCGAGCTTGAGTTACAACAGTTAACCACACTTACCATCGGAGAGATTAATAAATTGTGCGATAAAAGTGGCAAATAATTTGCATAACAATATTAATATAACAATTGCATAACAATTATAAAACACACAAAACTCTGTTAGCTATACTTTTACTATTTAAAATATTTAATTCATTTTTTTTGTTGTATAAAACCGTATTATTACCTATTCTATGGTCATACAGTATCTCAAAAAATTGTTTATAGATAAATATACCACTAGTTATTTATTTTAATTATTATTAATAGTTTTGCCCAGAGATCTACCATCGGGGAGATCAATAAATTGTGTGAAAAAAGTGACAAATAATTCACTTATAATAATATAACAATTATAAAAATATATATAATTCAAGTATCTATTTGAGTAAATTTAATTTATTTATTTAAAATTATTGTAAATTTGGTTTTTCTCAAATTTTTCAGAACATTTTTGCAAACATTTATTATTTATTTTTGTTTTTATCATTATTGTTTTCCAAAACTTTGCCCAAAAAGCCAACTAATTGTGAAATGGGAGCCGTTATTAACAGGAAGAATGGTATGGATAACAACAACGACATAAAATAATCAAATATCGCAACCGTTGTCTGTAATTGTTGATACATAAAATAACCATAATCAGTAATTCTAATTAAAATAAAGCAAAATATCACTTACAACATAGTAGAGAGTGTAGTCAACATTATCTCTGGCAGTGCCCGCGCGGTAGAGTATAACCATTGTATGCAACTGTTAAACATGATAATAAATAAGTAATAAAGCATTAAAGATAACAAATAAACTATTGATAAATTGTAAATTGTACAGGTTTATAAGTGGTAATAAAGCTTGGTGAGGTACGTTTTTCTAATGTTAATAGTTTAACGTACAACATCTGCCTAATCATCTAGATGGTTATGATGGAATTACTAGATTGTAATTAACCAAAGTTAATTAACCAGATCTATTAATTTGGTTGATAAAATTATAAGTACTTACGGAACAAACTTCAAACGATAGCCGGGATGAAGGGATAAATCCTTTCCAACCAATAATTTTAGTTACAAAACCTGCAAAATATGGATAACAATCGGTTAACTGTTAATATACTTTATAATCCACGTGTGGGTACATTACCTCCCCGTCCTGTGGCACAGGCGTAGAACATCCAAACCCAACCCAATAGATACAGAGGTTTGGAAAATGCCATAAATAATAGCATTTCAGTTGTACTCAATAGATAGTATGGGTCAAAGAAGTAATTAACCCAATATATGGACAGCATTGTACTGGTCGTGCAACTGATCCACAGAAATACTTCGCCGACTCGACCGCCGAGATATAGGTTAGGCTTTTCGCGGATCAGATAACCGCAGAGAATACCGATAGCATAGCTGACAACGTGTGAGTCCGGTCGCCAGTAATACAATATAACACTGTTTTGAGTACTCCATAAAGTGTCGAATTGATACTCGAAATAGTGTTTTATATCAAACAATACTCGGGGCGCAACGCCTATGAATATACCAATCAGTATAACCAAAATATTCCACACCAAACCAATCCGTGGCCAACGGAATAGTACAAGGAATACAATCGGTGCCAGTATATAAAGCTGATAGTCCGAGGAAATATACCTAGGTGTTATAACTTATTTATAAAAATACTAAAAAATGTTCATAATATTTATACCAATTGCCTGTATTGCACTGAAAATATGATAAATAATATGTTTGATTAGCTTTTATATTAAACATATCGATAGAAAAACTTACGGGATATCTGTCGGGGAGGGAGATATCAAAATTACTGGTCATTATGAGCGATGTAAACCAATTCTCACGACACGGTATGAATAAACCATTTGCAACAAAACTCCAATTTGGACCTACACTTCCACAATTACCATGTTAATAATATATAAAAATATAATAATTAATTTTAATTATAAAATATAAATTATATTCAATACCGCTGCCAATTAGTGGATAGAGAAATATCAGTAAAATAGCGCCCATTGTTGGCGGAACTATACGTAAATATCTAACGTAGACATTAATATTTAGTAATTATAATGGTTAAACACAAGATGACAATACCTGAAAATGCAATAATTAATATAATTGAAATGTCCTTTTGATTTCTTGAGTTTGGCGAGCATTACATAGCAAGTCATCATTCCTGGCATTAAATAATAAAATAATAATTGCATTTATTATAAACTAATATCAAAAACAATGTCCGCCGAAGACAATACCTCCGATGCAGAAGAAAGTGTCGATTAAATTAACATTTTTCCAGAGAAAAAAATAATAGGAAAATATAACTTTTTTAGATACAGATTTAGACGAGTGTATGCTATTAAGGCGCGCGAAGTCTATGTACGCGATGTGATTATAAAGTACCCAAAACGACACTACAGTCCGAATGCCATCCAATACTACAAACTTATCATTTTCTCTCTTTGTAGACGTTATGTATTCAAAGTTTTTGATCACTGAGAATGACTCGCATATGTGTTGCAAACCGGAAATTGATCCCGATTTGTGCGATTTCCATACATATCGGGCCAAACAGTAGTATAAAGTCGATAGTATTGTTAATACAATTAATGAACCAAATATCCATCTGTTAATTAAAATATTACTAATTATAATAATGTATTTAATTACAAGTTTTCCACAATTTGTCTCACATTGATGTCCACTGATATCCATTTAATTTAATTGGTTTATTATTATAACTGCACTCAGGATTTATTACAACGGGGAGATGTGTTATTGGAAATAATACTAGTAAATTAATATAAATTAATAAATATAATATTTTAGGCACTTTTAGGTACAATATTAAATATAACTAACGCTTATTGAGGGCAAACTCGATATCCTGTGGCCGACATGTTGTGGGCAGACATAAACCCATTGGCATATCCGTAGTAAATGTATTGGCAAAAGTGCTTATAGAAAGAATATCATTGAACAATAACCTAGTAACTTTTAGTGGTTTAAAACGTTCGGTTTTATTGTCTTGGGTACGCATATAACTCGCACTATTATTTTTAATTTGCTCATTGAGCTCGGTCCAATTAACCAATGTACCCAATTCATCAAATGTGCGTTCATTGAGCGCTATATTAGGCGCCCCGAGCCAACAGTACTGACCGCTAAACTCCTTAATATTGGGTGCATTCGGACTTTGGAGCTGAAGGCACTCGTCGTACCCGATATGCGGTTTTTTATGCGATATAATTCCCGATTCCGGTATCATAAGGGTATCCATAACTGCATAATGTGTTTAGAAAATTTTATTCGTTTATTATTTCAGTATTATATTTTTAAAAGTTGGTAAATTTTTGTAATTTAATTTCCTGTTTACTTATTATGAAATAAAAATAATTTAGATAATTGCAAAATGTATACTTTGAGTGGATTTTACACAACTATGTGGCAATTATATTTTTAAATAGATTTTGTAATAAAATTCTGAATAATTTATAAAAAAGACCAAATTATTTACCACATATTTTGTGATCAAAATGGATTGATATTTATACAATAAGAAATACGGTTAAATAATTTGTTTTACAATAATAATAATAATAACTTTAAAGATATTAAGAATACAGAAAAATAATACTGTAATTTAACAATTAATTATAAAATTATTAATAAATAAATAATATGAATGAATACATACACGGTTTGGCCCATTGTTTCCCGTCTTTGATTGCCGTCATAATTACTATCAAAGATCTCATGCAATCATTTGGTAAATCAATTTCCATCAATACTTCACTCAAACGACTTCCCAATCGTTGCACAATTGGTTCATAAGTTTGTTTTATTTTGTCGGTTATATTCTTTAGACGATTGAGTTTATCAACGGTTTGGTTGATGTGATCCACTCTCTGGTAGATCACCGATCGGTTCTTCTCCTGTTCCCAGTCTTCGGGAGTCAACGACTCAAACATATTACTCATTAATCTATTGAGTGAACATTTTTCCGGTAAATCAACTGAATTCACGTCATTGTTATCGCATTGGAAGCTATTTAGCGCTAATAAAAGTACTATTATTTTAAATATTAAATCCATTTTTAAATATAAATCACTGCAAAATCTATTAATAAATATTGACTTAAAATTAGAAAATAACTCTATTAACCAATAATAAATTTAAATCATGGTATTAATAACTGCTATCAACACAAGACTAAGAATTCTAAGAAAGCTAATATTTTATTTATGAAATGCCTAACTTACAAATAAGACTTTACCTTATTCAAAATTATGGGTTATTTGCTTTTCGAAATGGTGAAAATTATATAACTGTATAGTTTTTTGCGAAAATAAAATGACCATGAGCTTTATAAATGGAAAGTGGTAACAATATTTGCATAATTACATTTGATTAATTATATTTGATTATTCTGTATGTAAAAAGGTAACTAAAATACTAATTATTGCAGTTTGTTTGGTGTCCGATATAATATCATAGCAAGTCTACAAACCTCAACACATAATGTATGAAATGTACTTTACTATAATTTGAGCATAAATTAAATGTGTCCTAAATATTGTTAAACACTTTGTTAACAATATTATAAACGTTACGTAATGCCCGTCGGATTACATAATAACTAATTATTGTACTGGGTTAATTTTCATTACAACAGCTAACCCACACTTACTATATAAATGGCAATTTATATGACAAAAGTATTAAGGATATTAATAAATTACTTATAAAAATTACGCAAAAAAGTTCAGTTTATTTTACTTTATAGTTATTACATTTATTTTCTTAAATGCCTAGTTTTCTGTCTTTTAAATTGATATAAATTAATATATTATTCATTTTTGTTAATCTCATCGGTTTTGTCCAAAACTCTGCCCAAAACAGTCACTAATTGTGAAAACGGAGCCGATATTAACAGGAAGAATGGTATGGATATTAATAACGATATTAAATAATCAAACATTGCAACCGTTGTCTGTAATTTTGTATATAAAAAGTATCATAATTAATTAAAATATAAAAATAACATTTATAAGTGATTATATTAATTAATATTACAAGTATGTAACTATAATATAGCTTACCACATAGTAGAGAGTGTAATCAACATTCTCCCTGAGTGTTCCCGCGCGATAAAATATTACCATTGTATGCAACTGTAGAGCAAATTAAATATAATGAATATTCGACCAGTATTTTACTCATTAAAGCATGGTGATTTTATAAGTGTGACTTATGTTTATTTAATAAATTAGGTAATTATAATTGTATATTTCAAACATGTGTTTTTTAACTTTATGCTACTTTTTAAATCTTTATCTGTATATTCGAATGCATAGCTAATTAATTAATAATAATGCATATGTAATGTATAAACAGTACAAATACACCATACACTACAATTTCACAGACAATACTTACGATACAAACTTCAAACGATAGCCGAGATGTGGGGATAAATCCTTTCCAACCAATAGCTTTTGTTACAAAACCTGAGATATTGTAATCATAAACAGTTAATAAACACATTACTGAAGACAATAAGTTATAAAGTCTGGGTTTAGTGAGACTCCAAGTTTGATTTCTTTATATTTATTTATAGATTGTTTTGTTTTCAATCTGATATATAACTAGATATTATGGATTAATTTTTAAAAATCAAAGCATTAAGCTAACTTGTAAGAAATCTTGCAAATTAATTTTTGTGATCATAATGTTCCTTATTAAAAGATTATATAGTAATTCTAGATTTTGGGCAAAAATCAGCTTTATATTCCTGGATTTCTTGATATTTTTCTAATTGTATATAATTTGTCCAAATGTTGAAAATATTTTAAGAATTCTGGACAGGTTATCTAATTCAGGGGCAATTCAGGTTATTCCTGGACATCTGCTCAGTCTATTTCTTATTGTGAGGGGTAGATAATTACCTCCCCGTCCTGTGGCACAGGCGTAGAACATCCAAACCCAACCCAATAGATACAGGGGTTTAGAAAATGCCATAAATAATAGCATTTCGGTTAAACTCAACGGATAGTATGGGTCGAAGAAGTAATTATTCCAATACATGGACAGTAATGTAATGGTCGTGCAACTGATCCACAGAAACGTCTCGCCGACTCGACCGCCGAGGTATAGGTTAGGCTTAGCGCGGATCAGATAACCACAAAGAATACCGATAGCATAGCTAACAATGTGTGAATCCGATCGCCAGTAATACAATATAATACTGTTTTGAGTACTCCATAAAGTGTCAAATGAAAACTCAAAGTAATGTTTGACACCAAACAATAATCTTTGCGCCAATGGTATGCAAATGCCAATCAGTATAACCACAATATTCCACACCAAACCAATCCGTGGCCAACGGTATAGTACAAGGAATACAATCGGTGCCAATAGATAAAGCTGAAAGTCCGATGATATGTACCTAATATTGCAATTTTATCTATTGTTATTTACACTAGTTAATTTGTATTTCAAGAAATCGAATACCAATTGCCTGTATTGCACTGAAAATAAATAATCCGTTTAATTAAATTTTATATCAAACGTTTTAATGAATAAACTTACGGGATATCTATCGGGAAGGGATATATCAAAATTACTGGTCATTATGAGTGATGTAAACCAATTTTCACGACAAGGAATGAATAGTCCTTTTGAAGAGATATCCCATAACGGGCCTACAGTATCCCAATAACCATGGTGATAATATTTGATAATATAATTGTAACAATATTATATATGTTCAATACCTTTACCGATGAGTGGGTACAAAAATATTAATAATATAGCGCCCATTGTTGGCGGAACTATACGTAAATACCTTTTGAAATATATTTATCAAATTTAATCATGATTAATTGTGAAATACAATAACATACAATAGTGTATTTACCTGTAAATAAAATAATAAAAATAATTGAAACCTTTGTTTGATTTATTGAGTTTAGAGAGCATTGTATAACAAGTCATCATTCCTGGTATAATACGAAGACATAATTGAATTGTAAATTATTATAAATTAATTTCAAATACAATATCCGCTTAGACTATACCCGCGATGCAGAAGAATGTTTCGATGAGATGGAAATTCTTGTAGAAAAAGTGTGAATACGAGAAAAAAATCTTTTTGGCCATTGATTTGGAGGAACTTTTGGATGTAATCGGTATAAAGTCCAGGAAAGCGATGTGATTGTAAAGCACCCAAAATGACAGTACAGTCCGAATGCCATCCAATACTACAAACTTATTATTTTCTCTCTTTACAGACGTTAAGCTTTTAATGTTTTTAATGATTGAGAAAGACTCGCATATGTCTTGAAAATAGGTATTTGGTTCAGATTTGCGTGATATCCATATATATTGAGCCAAACAGTAGTATAAAGTCGATAGTATTGTCAATACAATTAATGAGCCAAATATCCATCTGTCAATTAAAATATTACTTATTATAATAATGTATTTAATTATATGTTTTCCATAGTTTTGTCTCACATTGATGTCCATTGATATCCATTTAATTTAATTGGTTTGTTGTGATACTCGCACTCAGGATTTATTACAACCGGGAGATGTGTTATTGGATATAATACTAGAAAATTAATATTAATTAGTTAATGCAACATTTTAGCAATTTTAAGTATAACATTAAAATATAACAAACGTTTATTGAGTGCATTCTCGATATCCTGTGGCCGACATGTTGTGGGCAGACATAAACCCAACGGCTTATTTAAGGTAAAAGTGGTGCCAAAAGCGTATATAGAAACAAAATCGTTAATAAATGACTTGGTAAATTTTATACTCGGAAAACGTTGAGTTTTATTATCACGTGTTATCATATAACTTGCTGTTCTGTCCTCTAACCAAGCATTGATCATGGTCCAATTTATCAATTCGCCCATCTCATCATATGTGCGCTCATTGAACACTGTATTAGTCATTCCGAGCCAACAGTACTGACCGGTAAACGTGGGTTTATTGAGCTCAGAATCGGGGCCCTTAAGCTCCAGGCACTCGTCGTATCCAATATATGGCTTTTTAAATACAATTATTCCCGATTCCGGTGTTATAAGGGTATCCATGACTGCAGTTTTGTGTCATTTGAATCATTAGGTTTGTTGACATAAATTGTTAAATTGAATTCAATTGTTTAATTAATAGTTAAAATTAATAAATCAGTAATATTTAAGATGTTTTTTTAAGAATCCTTTGAATTATAGTTAAAGGGTAATAGTATGAATGGCTCAAAAACTATGATTATATGTAAACTCACACAAGTTTACATAGTAAAACCTCTTCTACAGCTCTCTGACTACATACGGTTATTAAATTTTCAATTGCCTAAAAATATACTTATGTAGTATAACCAACATTTGATTTATTAACGTTTTAGTTTTCGTTATTTATAAAATATTTTTAAAATAATAAATTAATGAAATGGATAAATACATACACGGTTTGACCCATCGTTTCTGGTCTTTGATTCCCGTCATAATTGTTATCAAAGATCTCATGCAATCATTTGGTAAATCAATTTCCATCAATACTTCACTCAAACGACTTCCCAATCGTTGGACAATCGGTTCATAAGTTTGTCTTATTTTGTCGGTTATATTCTTCAGACGATTGAGTTTATCAATGGTTTGGTTGATGTGATCCACTCTCTGGTAGATCACCGATCGGTTCTTCTCCTGTTCCCAGTCTTCGGGAGTCAACGACTCAAACATATTACCCATTAATCTATTGAGTGAACATTTTTCAGGTAAATCAACTGAATTCACGCCATTGTTATCGCATTGAACGCTATTTAGCGCTAATAACAGTGCTATTGTTTTAAATACTAAATTCATTATTTGACACAAAATTTAACACAAATTATTATAAACTTAGTAGAAACTATATAACTAACAATTAGCTATCAAATTACATAAAGGTACTTATCGTAAAAATAGGAATAAATGTTTTTTGAAATATTGTCGCTATTAAAATATATTTTTAAAATATGTTTAAAAATTGATTATTCAGAAATAAATTTACATAATATTTAAATCAAGTTAATTATATTTAAAAAATACTGTTTTATAATTATATTACTTTTTTTATTATATTAAATAAATGTTTTGAATTTCGTGGGTTTTTTGTTGCTATTAAGACATACATTAACGGTAAAAATGTTGTCAATACAAACGTCTGATATTAAATTTATTTAAATTTTATTGATTCTCGAAAAGATAAATCCAAAGCATTACACAATTTCACGCCAATTATGTGTCCAATTTGTGTCTATCTCTTAAACTATCAAATAATTTATATACAGTACTATACAAATATGGGTTATTTTTAATGTAAAGTAATTAATTAACTAACACTAAAAAATAAACATCATTTTACATTTTAATATAAATTTTATTATATATTATTGAATATAACTTACAATTACAATTGAATTATAAAGATAATTCCAGAAAATCAAGTTATTTTTAACACATTTTACCTATTTATTTCCTTATTTATAGATTCGTTTTAAAACTATTGTATTTATCTGTTTTGTGGTTTTGCAAACATGTTCACCAAATTAGCCAACGGTCCGCTTAATATGACATAAAACACACCAGATATGAGTAGAGTGACCACATAGTCAAACATGGATATTGTCCACTGGTTTTTACAATAACAAAAATACATAACTATTAAGTAATTTTAAAATCAATCTCAATATTAATTACCAAATAATAGTTAGTGTATATGATGTGCTCACGGGATACGGCCGGTCGGTATAGTAAGACCAATACATGCAACTGTTTTACAATATTAGAAAGTAATAAAAATTATTATTATTTATGATTTAGTAATCAAATGGCATCAAACATACGCTACAGACTTCAAACGAGAGATTACTAGTTATTGAAAAGCCTTTCCAACCAAAAAATTTGTTCACAAAACCTAAGGTAAAACAAAAACAAATTAAAATAACGTTAATGTAATATTAGTTAGCAATACAAGAACAGGGGCTTTACCTCCACGGCCTGTGGCGCAGGCATAGCACAGCCAACACCAGCCCATCATAAACAAGGGCTTAGATAAGGCCAACCACAGCAACAATTCAGTGTAAGTCAACGGATAATATGAATCAAACAAATGGTTCGTCCAATACATGGACGCAAACGAAATGGTCGGACACGCGATCCACAGAAACGTTTCGCCGACTCGACCGCCGAGATAGAGGTCGGGCTTCCGGCGGATCAGATAACCCAAGAGAATGCCTATCATGTAAGTGATGACGTGTGTGTCGGGTCGCCAGTAGAAGGCCTGCATAGCGCGGGTTCCCGCCCATAGAGATTCGCCGAATGGCATTTCCAGAATGTAGGCGATGCCCCGAATCACCCTGGGCATTATGCATAGAAACATGCCTAACATTATTGCCAATACATTCCACACCACTCCGAGTCGAGGGCAGTGATAGATCACTAGGAATACCGCCGGCGCCACAGCATAGAGCTGAAAGTCAGTGGAGATATACCTTTTAAATAAATCAATATTATGAGTTACGTTATACAAATGAGAATGGTCAATTGTTTGCTCACCAATTGGAGAAATTGCACTGTGTAGAATTATAAAAATTATATTGTTAAATCAATATTTATAAATAATTTTTTTCAAAAACAAATTACCGTACAATAAATCTATGCGGAAAATCAATGTGAAAATTGTTTGTCATTAAGAGAGAGCCCAACCAATTGTCTCGACACGGAATGTATATTATGTTTGATATTAAACTCCAATTGGGGCCTAATTTAATGGTAATTTTGGATTTAATTACATTATATTTGTTTAATATAAAAATTCATTTTATATAAGTTAAAAACCATTTCCAATGAGTGGGTAAATGAAGATCACAAGAATGGCACCCATTGTCGCGGGAATTATACGTAAATATCTGTTGAAAATATTAAAGATTTTATGAATTTACAAATATATTTACACAACTAAAACATATTGAAACACAAACACCAATCAATGATACCTGAATAAAATGTATTGAAAATAATTAAAACGTCCGTTAGATTTATCAAGTTTTGATAAAATCACATAACATGTCATCATTCCTGATAAACATCACACAAAAAATTAACAAAAACTTTTATAATATCATTCAAAACTAGAAAACATGACGCCTAACCTCCGATCATGAAGAATAAGTCAATTATATTAATATTCTTATACATCATATAAGTGGGTGAGTTGAAAATGCCCCTGCTCACTTTGGAGTCGTTGGAGTGCATGGGAAGTATCGATAAATAATACTCGTGATTGTGAAGCACCCAAAAGGACAGTATAGACCGAATGCCGTCCAATAATTGAAATCTATTGTTTTGACGGTTTGATGAAAATATGGCTTTAAAGTTAACTATTGCTGAGAATGATTGGCACAATTGGCCGGACAGGGATGTGATGCCAGATTGGGTCCCAAAGAATTGTCCGGAGAAGTCGATGAATGTCGCTACTAATACCAAAGTCGTGAGTATGACAAATATCAATCTGCAATACATTGATATGTTAGTCTCTCTCTCTCTCTCTCTCTCTCT